TGGGTTGAATAAGTGAACTATAAACCCAGTTAGGTTATGAGATGCATGACCATTTCAGTGATCAAGTACGTATCAATTGAAATGGAAGTCTTTAGTAACTTTTTGGAGGCGGCGTAGTTGACAAATAATTCCTTTATTATGATTGGGATTAAGTCGTCGACAATAATAAACCACAAAATTATTTCTGGTCTCAAGATTTTTGCTTGAAAGGTTTTAGACTGAGAGCCAATCCTTTTTTGCCTTTCACCATGTTAGAAAGTAAATCGGAGGGATTGCTTCTGAGTTATCTAGAAGTGCACAATTGAAATTCGGCCCCTTAGAGGTGGCAAGTGTAATGTGGTAATTCTGCCGACACCATTTGGATTCAAGAAGGTGAGTCATTAGAATAGAGCCAACGTTTCAGAGAACGATTAGGGAGGTGATTTACAGAAGAACCTGTCACAAAGAACATTTCGCAAAAACAGAAGAATAACAGTTTTGTTTGATAGTTCAAACAATTGCTTTATGATATCTGAACTCAAACGGGTTTACAAAATGGAAAACCGATCGTTGGCGGCGATAAATCGGCATTTCACAAGGATGTTCGACGAGGGACACAAAACGGTGGGATAAAATGTTTTGAAAGGGGTAATACACCTCACTGATTAAACTCTTCCCGTGAATGGGCTATTTTCAGCAAAAAAAAGTGTCAAATCAGCAAGACTTTGGCGGCAACCGGGCAACTTCAAAAAGAATAAACGTCATGTTGATCACAAGACTTTTAAAAGCTGTGTTAGAAAGGGTAGCAAGAAGCAGAGAGCAAGCAATTTTGCGAGAACCAACTTTGGCCCACAGTGAGCAAATGAATCAAAGCGTTTTCATTGAAACAATGTTTTTTGACTAGTTCGTTGTAATTGTAATGTGCCTGTTGCATATTGTCTTTGTGGCATGATACCCAAGTTCTGAATCCACATAATTTCAGGATGCAGAAAAGCACAGAAAACCTTTTTTAGGATGTGAAAGAAAGTGGATTTTGATTTTCCGTTTTTGGATGTGTATAATCTGAGACGTGATCGAGATTTAAGCTCCTTATAGCACTTCGAAATTCAGTCATATGGATTTATGGCCTTAACAAAATATAATGCTGCGATGTACGCAAAAATGCTCGAAAAGATGAGTTTTCATAAATTTTTGCATATTATGTAAATGCAAAAACGCATATTGGTAAGAGGCCGTTTTTATTATAATATAGTGCTGCTAATCCTTCCGCTACAAGGCAGTTAATGACTGCTCAACAAAAATAAACAGAAAGTAAAACAACGGGCAAATTAATAGATGTAGTGGAGGTTGTAGTAAGGATGTGGGGTAGGATGTTGGTGCACATGTGTCTAAAGCAATCGCTTCCTCACTGCAGTCTGGAATGCGATTATCAAGCCAAAAGCCGAAGCCATGTTTTTACGGAACGGAGAACAAGGACCGAAAGGACAGACGAGGTAGGTGTCTTCTTTAGCTTATTTGTCATGCAGTAGTAGGAAGAAAAGTCATTAACAACTAATGACAGGAGGTAAATGGTATTGGAAGAGTGCTGCTGCTTTAGTCACTTCAGAGCGGTTCTGCCTCTTACAGAAAGTGACACGTAAACGGAGTTGTGGTAGGGTAGAAGGGATCACAGGCTTTATTACGTCGTACTTGGTCAATTAATGCTTGGTTTGCCAATCTAGACGCACCAATAGTTCCATATGCAGTTGGTCTGATTTGAATCACAGTCAAATTTAGACTTTTCGACGGCCTTATTTATGGAATATGTCAAAAAAATTAAAACAGTACTATAATTATAGAAATATTAGGTATAAAATGTCAGCACTGAAGTCTGGTTTCCACGAATCATCAGGACAGGTGGCAAATCACGTGTCATCAGATCCAACCAAGACATGTACAAGCAGCTGCAGATTTCAAGCCGTGGCACCGGCAGTGTTCTGAAAACATCCAAATAAAAAAAGGGATTGAAAAGATAAAGCCGAAAAAAGCTAGCATCTTGTTGACCGGCTCTACGCAGAATTTGTCTTTTGCTACCGTAATAGACGGATAGGCCTCACCCAAAGAAGGGAAGGACGATGGATCAAAGATGCGTGCAAAACATTTGGGATACGACTGGTTTTGCTGAAAAGCACAAAGCCAAGAATGACAGCACCAAAGTATAATAATAGAATAGGAGATAAGGCGTTCAGCTAAGTTCAAGAAGACATGTCTGAATGTAATCTGCGTTTCATGCCTTAGCCGTAAACATAGGCCAGACACAGTGTGTGGGTAAGAGTGAAAATCATCAGTACAGCCTCCTACCCGCCAAAAAACTGACTGAAAAACAAGCTGTAGAAAAGAGTAGGCAGTTAGCTTCAGTCCAGTCTGAGGCATGCGTTTTTTTTTTTTTTTTTTCAAAGCCTTTTTGTAACTAACTAGAATAGCACCAAGTGGCGCTGCCTGGACCGCGAGCAACATTCAGCAATTACTTGTTGGGTTCTGGGAAATGGATTGATTCAACCAATAAAACTGTTCTTAGAATTCTTATGTAGGCTACCCTGTATGATGCCCTCGACCCAAAGCAGTGTCTCTCTGGCACCATAAAAGCAGTGTCTCTCTCTCCCAAAGCAGTATTTGGCTCAAATTTTCATCCCAACGCACAATACTACATTTTCTGACTGTAAGAATGGGCAAATACCACCCTCCAGATACTTTACTGGTACTACTCTTCCAAAAACGAAAGAAAATGAATGTACGGGAGAACAAGCATACATGACTATCAGATCGGACTGATGAGAATGGAGCTGAAGCAGCTCTCTGGCGCGCAGCTGTCGAATTGTTCGTTTCTTCTGGGCTGCCAAATCAACGTCCGCAATCAAACCGCTCCGTTTTTCTTTCTCATTGTCTCGTAGAGGCGCTATAATTGCTTCAAAATCGCGAATCCTGCAGTGAAATTGTCATTAGTTCCACGAGGTGGGCATAGCTGTAAGGTGCTGCTGTGTTTGCTCTGTCACTACTGAAACGCATTAAATGGAGGCTCAAACCAGGTTAGGTAAGGTATGCGTAAAAACATTCCAAAGTTATCAACAATTGAAATTAATGGCGCGGTGATAACGTGCGCTATGCCCGTTTGGCATTACGTAAGCACTGCTTTTGCTGCGAGTGCAGAAAATGAGAGCCTTCTGGTATTCAGCGAGTCTTTCTGCTATATTAGCGATTCACTTGCCGCAAAGAGTTGCAAATATATACCAAAATCAAAATCGCTCAATGTAAGAGATGTTACTAGCATGCTTCAACACGTTGATCTGAGTTATGCATACGCCTGGAAATGCATATAGCTTAATGAACTGCATACGGCTTAATAGGAGTGCATTTAGTATTTTTAATTTTTTAAATGTAAATTTATTCAAAGCGTTTAAAAAAGACTAAAAAAGGAGCTGGAAAAAGGTGGGGAATAAGATGATGAGATTGGCGAAAAGAATATCAGCAAGGAATCTGTTACGATGATGGGTTAATGAGTAGAAGAGGATAAATACTAGCCTGATCGTAGAAGACGAGGATTAGTTGGAAGAAAAAGAGAACGAAAGAGAACGTATTTTTTTCCTTATATATATAAACATATATATATATGTATATCACAATTAATATTTTTGTTATGCCAAGTCCATCAATCCTGGTAGGGTAAGTATTCTAGCAGTCGCAATATTCGAAATGAGGTGCTTATAGGCATCGCATGACATCTTAAGCCGTGCCAAGTGCTTCTGTAAGGAGATCAACTAGATTACTAATCCACGCGTGAGAGTTGTTACAGGCTGCGTAAAGTCTTGGTGTTAATGACGCGCACCCCAACGCAGTCCCCGAAGATTAACTGCAAATGGGCTAGTTGAAGCCGTTTATAGCCATACGTATTCTACATCATAGAAAGTTATCAAAGTAATCGTCGTCTTTTTCGAAGCGCTTTTTATGAGTTTTTGCTATACAGCGCTATAGCTGTTATAGCGAGTAAAAACGCATATTGTCGAGAGGTTGTCTGTGCGTGTTTGTTCAGAAACAAGTAAACTTTGTTACTTACTTTCAACTCAGCAACCAGGAAAGCTGGGAAGCTGAAATTTTAAAGACATATTCCTACCCCGTTTGTCACTCTCCCGTTTCAAAATCTTCGCTCGCACGCGCTTAGACCACGAGTACAGACCCCCGGAAAAAACACGCAAACTTCTTCGGCGGGTAGCGATTTTGGGAACTACGCAAAATAGAAAGTTGAAACTTTGCAGAGATATTTTGTGTGCCTGTGTCAGCTAAAGATTTCAAATTCAGTCACTGCGCACGCTTGTGCAGCGCGTAAGGTCACGTCAAAGTTTGCACCTGGAACTATGTTAACTCGAAAACTAGCCAGAAAACAGTGGCTGAAATTTTGTCAGAATATTTGCCGTCCATATAGGAAATCATATACTTAAAATGAGTTCCGATTTGCACTTGCGCCGTGACTTAGGGCATTTCAAAGATATTTGTAACGAAGTGGATGTTCCGTTTATCGGATAAGGTGCGAGACTGAAACTTTGCTGGAATACTGTCATGCGTGGTCATAATTCTGCTTGGAAGTGAAATTCCCTGCATGTGGGTATGAGAAATAATCAACTTTACCACAAATCACTTGCATATTTGGATTTTCTGACAAAAGATTGATCTAGCAACATATCAACTTTTCAGTGAAGAACTGAAACTGGATGTTGGGAGAGAAAG